TTTGTAAAAATAAAATAAAATTTTAAAAACACCCAAAGGACAAAGGGGAAAATAGACCCCATTATAGGAATTGTCACTGGAACAGTTTAAAAATAATTGAATGTGTAGCTGTGAGTATAGTCTACAATCTAAAGTAGCAGCAGGTATAATATTTCTTCTCTCTAGGGAAAATAGAAGGGTGGGCTGGAATGAAGGCAGTATATACCTGCCAGCATTTTGTTGGCATATACATATACAGAAACAGCTTTTCCATCTTATCCTGAAACTGTGGGCATTTGCAAAGAGTGACTTGGTCATATAACAGCGCCCTGCAACAGTAGGTCTTCAGAGTAGAGTTATTTTTGACTCTTATTTCAGCTCTGTGTTTTACTCTATTTGTCATGCCCACACACAGACTCTGATGCTCAGTCTCTGAAGGATGATGAAGCTGGAAAGAGAAGTTAGAGACAGCTTTTCACTTCCAGTCAGTGTTCTCATTTTCCCTGTTTCCTGGTGAGGACCTAGCTCACTGGAACAGAGGTTTTTCAGAAACAGCTAGACTCTCTAAAAGCATCATACTCATTCCTTGGTTGTTGGCAAGTGACCTTAAGCTAGAGGAACCCACTCCAAGGCCATGCCATGGTCATTACTACCCACTCTTTGTTGCTACAGATCCAGATAATGTCATTTATTATTTCATTATTATTTAATTGATAATTTCCTTGAAATTATTATTGTTGGGCTATGTGATTCCGCCATTCCAAGGTTCTCAGGGTCTGAGACCAAATGACTTAGACTTGAGAAAACTCCACGTACCACAGAGTTAAAGGACTAGGTGAGATGCCCTGTGAAGGATGACAGAAACACCCAAGAGAGCACCAAGTTAATAAGGATTCATTACCCCAAAATAGCTTGGCAGTCTGGCTCCTTGCACCTCATCTCAGTAAAAGCTGGTACTCAAAGTTGAGGGTCAATATATGGCCTGACTCTGCAGTGAAGACATGCTTAATGGGGCTATTACATTTTCCACATAAGGGAAATCCACCACTATTTATATCCAGCTTAGTACTTCGAACTCAGGCAGAATACTTCTGAAACTACATCCATCCAATATTAATAGCATCTGTCTTGCAGATTAACTATCACATTGTGTTTTTATTCAAACATCATCACTGAGCAATCACTCACTAAATTATTTAAAGGAAACAACAAAAAATTGTTTTAAGGTCACAAGAAGGATGTCAGTGAGCCAGTATTACTAAGCATTTTAAAATCTGGAAGATTTCATTTTAAGGAAGTGTAATAATGCCTTTCTTTGGCATATGTAATTCTATATTTTATATTTATGAAGATGGACATTTCTGAAGTGTTTAATGAGCAGCAATATAGTTCCCCAGTTAAAATGCAGAGCCTTATACTATTTTTAATATTATCCAGTAAGTAACTCAGTGCCATATGCTTCTATAGTTCAACTGCCAAAGAATTCCGCAAGTTGCTCTGGAGGCTGTCTCCACACCCCAGCCAAAACCATGTTTGTGGTACAGAGCTATTGATGTCCTACCAGTGTAGAACTTAAAAATGGCCCCACAGAGGAGTTATGCAGAGGTTCTGCTAACTCCATTGAACAGGATGTGGCTTGGACCCATGTATGGAATCGGGGCAAAGCTTAAATACTAGACATGCTACACTGGAAAAAGACAGTACAATCTTGCAAGCAGTGAGGTGCTTACTCCTCTGGGTTGCCAGATGACCTCTGCTAACCAAAGCATAGGCCATTTCTTAACTTTCATGCACCACCTTAAATATTTTAGACTGGGAAATGGCAAGAGAGCCAGTCCACTTCTAACTTCTGCTTTGTCCCTCTCATCTTGGCAGGTACAGGTGACTGAGTTAGAAATACATGCGTGAAGGTTAGAGAATGGGAAATGAACAAAAGAAATTATCATCAACAATAAAGTGTGAACGTGAACAGAAATTTTAGAGGTCTGTTGGGTGTACACATGCCTTTATTTTGTTGTCCTGCTGTGCATTATGCTGTGCATATTATACGTTGTACTATTTAGTACAACGTTTACCTGTTATATTCAGAATGCAAATCTTTACTTTTTAATTGTTTGTCATACTTGCTAAAGGTTAAGCTCTTATTTTACAGTGACTAGATTGTTTCCATAAACTCTAACAAATAAACACTAGTATTCCCATCTTATTTTTTAACACCATGCAGAATAATTCTGTTGTCTGGTAATCATGAGGATATGCAAAAAATTCCAGTGTTTTTACTCAGCATACGGGTACCTATTGATCAACCCAGCACTAATGGAAGCCCCAGTAACCAGACGCCAAGATGCATACTAGGAACTCCTTAAGGTGCAGTTCCCATGGTACTCTCATTCTGTGAGGATTACAAAAATTAAGAGAATCATTAGAACAAGAAATTGCTACATTTCTAGATTATTGCAGTATTAGTGCTGGTTTGATGGTAAAAACCTGACGCGATGAGAACTCTGAGCTCAAAACCTCATGGTGTTTTTCTGGCTGCAGCAGCTGGTCTGTAAAAAGACAGATACTCTCTGTAGACTTTGTTTTGCTAAATGAAGACAGACAAAACTATTTTGTCCCCTTTACACAAAGAAGCTGAACCTTCTGTGCTTAATATGACAGAAAACAACAATTAAAATAAAATTTACCTCACACATACTCCGGTCATAACCTATTTGGATATTTTCTATACAATTTAATATTTTCAGCCTAAAAATAATAATAGTTGAGAAGGGACATAAATGGAAACAAAGGAGCAACAAATCTGAAACAGATGTTAGGAAGCACTCCCAGCACAGAAGAGCTGATGTGCTGAAAAGCTACCTGGGGGCAGGACATTAAAAGATGCCTCTCAAGAAAGCCTGTGAGGAGGAGCAGAACAATGGAGGAAGGCTTGTTTCAGATACCTCTTTGTCCTCTATACCTCTCATGCCACCACCTCAGGGAATTCTGCTTTTCTTACACAGCACAATTCTGTGGCCCATTCAAGCCTGCTCCAAAACGGAAGCAAAAATGTGAGGGAGAAATTTTGGGTGAATTTCAGGTTAGAAGACTGAGAAAGAGTAAAATCACTGTTGTGTTGTTTTGCCTCCAACAGAAATAAACAAGTTTTCCCTAGAATGTGACTCTAAGGAGATTAAAACCCACCAGTATCCATTTATGCCATGAAACAGTTAATTTTCACAGTCTGGAAGATGCCAGGAAATTAATTTTTAACCAGTGTTGATGACCATGTTGGTAGCTACAGAATTTATAGTGAACATTTTAGGAATGTCTCTAAAAATAACAAAATTACTACCTGGTTAAATAGAACACCCCCTGTGATTATCCCCACTCAGACTGCTAAGTTATCCTTTATGATTACTATTTAAGGGATCGTGTAAAGTACTCTACAATCATCGGTGCCATCCTTCAAAACTGTGAGAAAGGCAGGCATAGCCCAGGGGAAAATAAGTCAAAAGGTAACTTGGATTTCTTTGTCAGAGACCCCAGCATTCAGTTCTCAATTCTCTCACTCAGTTCTCTATTCCTGTACTCAGTCCTTGTCTTCTAGCCACAGTTTGTTATGGTTACTTTGTCAAAGAGGATATTTGCATGTTTCTGTGTCCTTTTAAAAGTGGACAGAAGCCCATGGGGGAATTTATTCCCTCAGGAAACCAGAGGGTCTGTACTCAGTGGTTTCAGGGGATAATTTTCTATTCTCCACACTCTTAAATCCTGTGGAGGCTCTGCAGAGCATGTTTGTCGATGCCTATGGGATATGTTCCAAGGACAGCAGTGATGAGGAACCAGGAGGTAAGCTCTGCATTGTTGGATTAGTTAAATAATGAAGCCTGAACTACACTGCAGCACCTTGATCATAGGATCCAGAAGGCAAAACTCAGGCAACTCCAATCTATTGGCATTTCTAGAGCAACAGGTTCCACTTCACCCTCACAGGTAAGTGCCTGGAAAGAATGGTACTTGTTTAGGATGTGGTTTTAAACAGTTTCTGTCCAGAATTTTTTTAGTATCTCTTCATGCCTTCATGAAGACTTCTCCTTCAGGAAGACCTGCTGAGTATGTCACCTGCCATTGATAAAGGGGTAACTCAAGGAAGAAGCTGATTTTTCAAGCAGAACTGGATATCACATTTACAATTACTTCTTTCTGCCCAGTAGATAGGTGCATGTTTCCATTACAAACACATAAAGTTTAATTTCTTTCTGACTCAGAAATACTCTTGTCTAAACTACAGAATTCTGTGCTACAGAAGAGATGCAGCACCAGAATTCAAAGCCAAAATATTCCATGTCCACTAGGAAACCCAGTTATTTTCTTGTTGAGCTCAGGCCAACAAGAATGTTCAGCAAAACATTTGCATTACTCACTAATCAACAAGAGCCAAAATGCTTAGAAATTAGAGTAATTGTATCAAACCTTCTATAGGTCCTTCCTTTTTGAGTGTCCTTGCAATTAAAATCCTTTGCAGCTGTCATGTGAGTGGATGACACAAATGATGCCTGAAAGGCATCTACTTATAAAATGGTAAATTTTTGGTGACAGATTACACACATGTAGCCAGTCAAATACCAAAGGCTTGTTAAGGCAGACTGTGCATATACATTTTATAATCCCACTTCAGTAACTAAATTCTGGATAACAAAATAAGAAAGCTTCTAATATATAAAAGCAAGTAATTTCTTATTAAGAGAATTTTTAATGCAGATACTGTGTGTGTGCTGCTGGCATTTTGGTGATGTGTGTTCAGACTGACTTCTTCCTACCCCTTTCAGACTCTTCCTTCTGGTAGCTCATGGGCCTTCTTTGAAATCTTGTACAAGTTCCTACATCTTCGGTGTTACCAGTTTTCTTTGTCTTCTGAGCCAGTATATGCTGATTTTTGGTGCAGTAAGGCCACAGTTCTTTTACAGGGATATGTTTGCACTGTTGTCTTAGTGTAGCCAGTTAATATCACAATCATCACATATTTTGCTCTTCAGGCCAATCTGTCCTGCTCTTTGGAGACATGATTTGGTTGGGATATGCCACTGCCTCCATCTGTCAGATGTTTTCCTGTCAAGTCTCTCTGTGCTTTGCTTCCTCAACCACATGGAACACCTGCCAGGTGAGCCACTTAAGAGTCTCATCTTGCTATTTTTCACCAGGAGCCTCCTGTTACACTGCTGTTGGTTGCCTTGGACTTACGTTCACCATTTGTCCTTAGTCTCAGCTATGTGTAGAACTTGAATCTGGCTGATTTCAGCATGTTCAGCATGGCTATTTGATGGCTGAGCTAGCTCACAGTATCATAGAATCATTTGACGTTGTTGACTCAGGGACGGAAAGAAAAGACTCCAGTCTTCAGAAGGCGAATTAGAAACTTTAGTGAAAGTAGCATGTCTTTTTATAATGTGACTCTCTAAGGTGAGACTTGATTGGTCTCAAAGTAAAAACCTCTCACACTATTGGTGAGCTATGAACAGCACACTCTGGAGAATATATAAACAACAGTTACAGAAAGAGAGATAGCAATTGTTTTAATTATTTTCTCTAAGTTTCCCAAGCTCTGCCTGGGAGAAAATGATCTCTGTTCTTTCTTCAACTGAACTGAGAATATCCACTATCATTTAGACCAGAAACTATCTCTAAGATCATCAAGTTCAACCATTAACTTAACACTGCTGTATTCAACTAAACCATGTCCCTAAATTCCACATCCACACATCTCTGGAACACTCCCAGGGATAATGATTCTACCCCATTTCCCTGGACAGCCTGTTCCAGTGCTTAACCACCCTTTCAGTGAAGAATTTTTTTCTGATATCCAACCTAAACTTATCCTGGCACAATTGGAGACTGTTTCTTCTTGTCCTATCACTCATAATTTGGGAGAGGCTGTCCCCCACCTGGATGCAACCTCCTTTCCATGGAGTTATAGAGAGCAATAAGGCCCCCTCAAGCCTCCTTTTCTCCAGGCTAAATACCCACAGCTCCCTCAGCTGCTCCTCTAAAGACGTGTGCTCCAGACCCTTCACCAACTCCACTGCCCTTCTCTAATGCCTCAGTGTCTTGCATGTAGTGAAGGGTCCAAAACTGAACAAAGGATTAGAGAGGCATCCTACTAGTCTCTTGGGGCTAACACTGGCTTTTACCTGTTTTTTCCATAGGGATCCAGGGAAAGCTGACTTGTGATCAAATCAGAGTTGGACTTTGATGATCCTTGTGGGTCCCTTCCAACTTGGGATATTCTGTGATTCTATGAAACTGCCCTTGCTGATGAATTTGTTTAAGCAGTCAGTAATGTAGTCTAACCTATTACGAGAAGCCTTTGGTTTCCTTACTCCAAGTCTCACTTGCTTGTTTTACAGATAGTTTAACTTTCAGACACTAAAGTGGTGTCTATAAATGTGCAGCCCTTGCCCCTGAAAGTGAGCCATGAGGATCTGTGCAGGACATGGCAATCACTCTGAGAAACGCATATGGCCAGAAGGATTTACCCCAAGATGGAATTATGTGCTCTATGCCAATACACATAAGTTAAAGCTGTCACTCCAGCACAGTTCATGAAAAGGTGTTAGAGAGAAGAAGAGCTGAACTTCACTGTCATAAAATATATGCATGTAAGCTAGCTTGTAGGCCAGTGCTTTATGAAAAAGAGTGAAAAACTGTGGAATAACTGTGGAAAACATAATTTATTCACAATGCTGAGGATGAATAAGGGTCCCCAGAGTTTGCTTGCCTTCACAAGTGACCTAAATCAAGGCTGCAGTTTCAACCACAAATTAATTAGTGTTTTCTGTATTAGTGTTATTAGTGTTTTCAGACTCCATCAAGTTGCCTGTAAATGCAGCGAAGGGGAGAGAAGGATGTGGGAATGAATGAAGCAAGCTCTAAATAAACAAATAAGCAATCCAATAAAACTACCAAAGTAAAAACAATGTGCAATGCCCTAAATCTGCTCTCTTGAGCAGGTTGATCAGTGATCTTCAGTTTTTCATGTTTGGTGCCACATGGTATATGTAAACTATGACAAGACTCTGAGGAATCAGGGAAGCTGGAGTCTGCTGGCATATGAAATCATTCCTGAAGTGCCACTGTCTGTGACATGAGGGATTATTCCAATGTCTTTGCTTGCCTTCAGGACCTTTTTCTGACAGGTGCAGCAGATGAACTTCTCTTACAGCCTTCCTTGTGAGCATGAGACCAACCCTCTGCCAGTCCAGGCTGCCAGATGACAGAGGAAGGTGGCTTTGCGCACACTCACAAGGACTCGTGGTATTCTTGTGAATGAGCAGCAGGGACCTCCTTTTCTGCAGAAGGAATGGCTGAATGCTCTCATTTTCTGTCACCATGGGACCAGGAGCATGAAAAGCAGAAACTTCCCAGTCTTCCTCTGTCCTGAAACATAAACTCCACAGCATCCTCTGGGCTGAGAACCACCCTGAATTGCCAGGAAAAATGCTACAGCTGGGACTGGAAATGCGTTGCATCTCTGGAGTCGTTTATGTGCCCCAAATTCTGCAGTGACTGATTCAAATAGCTGTGGAGGAATAGCTCCAGCTCGAATTGTGTTTCTCATGGGGAAGTCACAGGGGCTGCTGAGCCAGGTTTGCCAGGGCAGTAGGAGTCACAACTTTGGTCTGAGATGGGTGGCAGGGAGCCAGCACCAGGCTGCAGGACCATCACTCATCTTCCCCTCACCAGCTCCCAACCTTCACCCAGAGAGCGGCAGAGATCGCTCTGGTCTCTGAGAGCTAGGGCAGCTAAGTCAGACTGTGGAGAGCAGGCTTAGGTAATGGTACATGGAAATGCTCCACAGTTCCACTGTTTAAGAGCTTGAAATAAAGGGGTCAAGGCTGGGTAAGGACAGATAATTGCACTCCTCGATAGGTTGTGTGGTTGGTTTAATGAATGGTTTATCTGTTCCTCAGTTTCTGTTAGTTGCTAGAGTTGTGACTTTAAAAAAATATATATACACAAATTGTTGACAACTATTTTGTCACTTACTTTTTTGACAAAGACCTAAAATCAAGGATTTTTTTGTAATGAGGGGAAGATACTGAAATGCATTAGGTGAATTTTCTTCTTAAAAAATCACTTACGTCAGAAGCAGACAAGGAAGAAAAACTGCCTACATTTTGCAGCTAGGAGTAATATCCATAATTACAGAAGAAATTTAGAAAGAAGGGTTTGGTCCTCAGCAGACTAAAACACATTCTTGTGGTTGCAATCATAAGGAAATAACGCATGCACACACAAAAATCTTTCATCACAGCCTCAGCACATCTTGTACATGAGAAACAACATTCTTTATTTTAATGTTTTGCAGCATTTTAGAGATTTAGGGCCTTATTTTTCCCTGTCCTTCCTGAGAGCATTCTGAGTTAAAATAATGGCTCATTCTTTGGGTAGAAAAGCATGCCTGAAGAGTGTTTTCTTGTTTTTGCTCGTGAATTACTAATGAAAATGAACGGCTGACAAATTAAGTCATTGTTGGGGGTAAAAAAATGCCTTCAACTTCAAGTTTAAGATCTGCTTGCATGTTTTTAGAAACAGAGTCGCTTCTCTCTACTGTTGTATACTACCCTTGGTTCAGTCTTCATCACCTGCATTTGGCTTTTACAGCTCATCTACACTAAAAAAAACAAGAAAAAAGCCAATATTGAGTGATCTGGTTATAACTTTTTTTCCTTTAACTGTTTAAACACATAGCATGGACTAGAGCTAACTAGATTGTAGCTTTGAGGCTATAATTGAAGGTCTTTTCTATAGCAAAATACTGAATTTATGCTTTATTCATACCATGGAAATAGCAGCTGCATTAACGTTTGGGTGCTGTTTAAAGACCAAACAGGTTCAGTTAATGTGCTAGATGCAATGCAAATTTTTGGTAACACAAGCCTAGGGCTTGTGTCAAATATATATACATATATCTCATATATATTCATATATATGTAACACAAGCCTAGGGCTTGTGTCAAATATATATACATATATCTCATACATATTCATATATATGACAATTTTTGATGCTGATGGTATATATTTGCAGTTGGTTTCAGTAGCAGTTACTTTTTGAAGGACCACAAAGGAGCAATAGTGTGACACTGAATTCACCTGAAGGTAAACGAATACCATACACACACATCTTTTTATTTTGCTCCCTACTGCTGAAATTCAATAAATGACTTTATTAGCAGATATTAAGAACTGCTACAAAGGATGCAATCCTCTGGTAAGTCTGGCAAGTGTGCAGTTGAGCCATCAAACAGCACTGAAGCAGGTAATTTCTAACAGAAATGTGGATCAGAGGCAATCGGAAACAGCAGAGGCAAATATCTTCTGTTGTAACAAAGGATTTAACCCTTTGAAGTTTCTCTCTCCTCCTTCCCAAAAATGAGCATGAAATTTAAATGAACACAAATTCACTGCTATTAATAACAAGCTAGATTTGGAATCTGAATATTTTTGATTTGTTTTTAGCCTTTGCATTTATCACAAGTTTATATTTCCCACAGTAAGATTTATTCCTTCTGCTATAAAATAAGATACCATGGTAAAGAAAGAGGAAAAGAAAGAAAAAAAGTTTCCTGAACTCCTCATAGTATTCCCAGAGGACATCTCAGCATCAACTGGAAAGTTTCACAAGCTGTCCATGGACATCAGAGAGTAAAGGCTCATTTGAGCTGTGGCTTTGGTGAGTCAATCTGCTCACAGTTCATCAGGAGTGCCAGGGGATCCTGATAAAATGATAAGGATGCTGTGCACTGGGTAGAGTAGAACATAAATAAGCTACTTAATTCCATTTGTTTTAGCTTTTCTTTATATCCATATGCTCGAATCATATCACACCAGCCCAGCCTTTGTACTCAGAGAATTCCTCTGAATTGGATTAGGTAATATATTGAAAGCTGTATTTCTTGAAGTGCCTTTGGGTTTTGTGTGTATATGTGTGTGTGTGCGCATTATTTCTCTGTGAAATGTGTTTTTGTATATTCAGAAGACAATTTAATTATTCTTCTCCCAGTCACTTTGCTAGAAAGCAAGGTCAACCCCTGAGAGTTATTTACTATAAAAGCTTGTGATGAGTAGACAAATGTAGGTGTGAAAATACAGC